ATAAAAACATGGTCCTATATGCATTTTGGTTTCGGTTTTATTTTTTATTTTAGAGACAGGGTCTGGCTCTGTTGTCCAGGCTGGAGGACAGTGGCATGATCATGGCTCACTACAGCCTGGAAATCCTGGGCTCAAGCGATCCTCCCGCCTTAGCCTCCAGAGTAGCAGGAACTAAGGTATGTGCCACCATGCCTGGCTAATTTTATTTTTGTGAAGATAGAGTCTCACTATGTTGACCAGGCTGGTCTTGAACTCCTGGGCTCGAGTGATCCTCCTACCTTGGCCTCCCAGAGTGTTGGGATTACAGGTGTGAGCCACTGTGCTGGTCCTATATGTTTTAATTAGCTTTATCATTTTTACTTTTCACATTCAGAGTTTTAATTCCTCTGAAGTTTTGTTACAGTAGGATACAACTTCCTTTCTCCTTCTGGTGAGCCAACGTTGCCACCATCTACTGCAGAGCCCTCATTTCCCGCAGACATGATGCTTTGTATAAAGTGTGTCAGGTGTCCTCCTGGGTAGGCATCAGGTTACAGGCTCTCCACCGCCCCCACTGGGCTATTTTTTTTGTTTCCATGCCAGTACCCCACTATTTCTATAATTATAGCTTTCTCATCTTTAATTATATTTCTATAATTATAGCTTTAAAATATGTGTAACTATCTGGTAGGTCAAATCTGCCCCCAACCTGACTCTCCAATTTTCTCTCCTTTCTCAAAACCATCCTAGAATTTAAGGACTATTATCCTTCAATATCAATTTTAGAATCAGATTGTCAAGTTCCTGAGAAAACCCTGCTGGCTTTTTAATTGGAATTGCTTTGAGAGATTAATGTAAGGAGAATTGACATTGTTATGATTTTTAATTGCTTTTACTCTGTATTGAATAGACAAAAGGATATTTATAAAACATATATGGAGAATAAAGAATAACATTAGCAACATCCATGTACCCACCAGCAAACCTAAGAAAGAGTGCCCTCACAGGCATGTTAAAGCATCCCCGTGGTCATTCCTGTATCTCAAGCCTCAAAGGCTCTGCCTGCTCCCATTTATTTTGCTGGCTGACATTTGCTCATGGTGCCTCAACTTCCTCGTGTGGTGTGCAATGTTTTGAGTAGCGAGGACATGCTCCTTAGAGTGTTAATTGTAGGACTACTCTAAGGTGTGGCTTGAAAGATAGGTTCCTCCAGACAGAATCCACATTTGCTTCAGCCAGGTGCCTGCAGGTATGACCAACCCAGCATCACTTTATTTATTTACTTATTTTTAACTTTTAAGTTCAGGGGTACAAGTGCAGGTTTGTTACACAGGTAAACTTGTGTCATAGGGTTTGTGTGCAGATTATTTCATCACCCAAGTTTTGAGTCTAGTACCTATTAGTTGTTTTTCTTGATCCTCTCCCTCCTATTACCCTCCCCCGTCAAGTAGGCTCCAGTGTCTGTTCCCTTCTTTGTGTTTATGAGTTCTCATCATTTAGCTCCACTTATAAGTGAGAATATGCGGTGTTTGGTTTTCTGTTCCTGCGTTAGGTTGCCAAGGATAATGGCCTCCAGCTCCAACCACGTCCCTGCAAAGGACATGATTGTGTTCTTTTTTTTATGACTGCATAGTATTCCATGGTGTATATGTACCACATGTTCTTTATCCAGTCTATCATTGATGGGTATTTAGGCTAATTCCATGTCTTTGCTATTGTGAATATCCTAGCACCATTTTAAATCACATCCATCCTTGGCTCAGATTTTTTGAACCACCCAGTGTGAAGTCATGTTGTGAGTTCATACGAGAGTGTTTCCAGTTCACCCTCACTCTGAGGGTGTGGTCATTTTTTGAAGGTATAACTTTTCGTAGGGTGTCTACTCTGAGGCTCCTCCCCTTAGTTAGGCCCTGGGTTTTTGTCCTTTGTCTCCTGAACCCATGAACAAGGCTATGAAAACTGAAGCTCAGTTTTGCTGGGTTTGACAAAGGGCCTTGGGACAAAAGCTGTCTTCTGGGCTCTACTGACATCTCTATATTCTAACCCTCATTTCGGTTTTGGACTCTGAAGAGTCTTTATTTTCTTGCTAGCTTACCCATGCATTTAAAATCATAATTTAAAAAAACCCTCACATTTGTAGGTATCTTTACCAATAAAGTTGGTTAGGGTATCTTGTCTTCCATACTGCAGGAAGCCAAATGCTTAGAATTGATATTTTCACATTGTTTTAAGTTGTCTCAGCTTTGAACAACAGTATATGTGTACACTGATGTAGGTTTTTTTATGTTCTTAGGCCCAGTTTGTTACTTTTTCCCTTAAGTGTCTTTTGCATTCTTCATTAGATTATGTCCTGTAAATCTTGGTGTTCATTACGTTTTAAAAATAAATACAATTGAGTGGTTTTTCTGATTTATAAAATTTTCCGACATTACAGAAGAGTGTAAAGAAAGTTTTAAAAAACCATAAGAAACCCACTATCAGCAGAAATAACAGCTATGACCTTTTGATATATGTCATTGTAAACAGTATTCTTATCTGTAAACCCATGTTTGCACAAAAAGAGGAGAATGGGTTTGCATTTCAAACAGCTCACTCCGCAAGCAGGATTTCAGGAAAGAAAAAGACCAAAGGCAACGCCGTGGAGGCGCACCAGGATTTAAGGGGAAGGCAGAGGAGGGGATGGGGAGTTAGGGTCAGAGTTAGCAGGAAAATGAAGACAGAGGCTGGTGTGGTCCGGTGCAGAGCTTATGTGTCACAGAGCTCATCCTGAAGGGCGGGCTCAGGTCAGGGATGCCCTCCTGCTGCCATCCTTATGCCCTTCTTCCTTTTCTCTACAGGTTGACTCTGGCAGCTCCCTTGTCTGCCAAATGAACAAGACCTGGATTCAGATAGGAGTGGTGAGCTGGAGCTTTAGCTGTGGCCGGCGCCACTTCCCAGGTATCTACACCAGCACTGCCCACTTCACTCAATGGATCAGTACTGAGGTCGCTGACATGAGGTTCATCAGTAGGGCTGGCCCTGCCTTCCTGTGCCCAGTTTTCCTCACTGGCTACATTCTGCTGGGCTCCTTGGGCTCCCTGTGGCTCCTGTGAGCAGTGTTTCAAGGACAGTCCCTCCTGGAGGCTGCTTCTCCCTCCCCTCTGTTCTACCCTCAGAAGTGGAAACGAGAGGTTGCATAGGATGGCAGGGCAGAGTGAGGGGGAGGGTCTAAGAGCCACTGTTACTTTCTGTTGTTCAATGAAGATGCTTTTGAACTTTGAGCCACTCAAGTGATCATCTTTCTTCCTGACTTCAGTCAGAGCCCTTCACAACCTTCCTAACTCCCAAGCAGTCCTGGCTGTTCTCTCAAGCTCAGCCTTCTCTGATAGCTTTATGCCATGTCTGTCTTGTGCTTGTTGTGTGACCCTGGGAGACTGTTCCCCTCCCTCTTCTTCCAAATGTGGGACTGCAGCCCCTTCTTAGTCATCCCAGCACTCCAGCAATCCCCAGGTCCCCATGACCCTCCCCTGGGTATGTGACAGACACTTTCCCTCAGGCCTTCCTGCAAGGCCTGGCCTCTTCCCAAGTAACTCACCATGGTCAGATCACAGACCCAGACCCAGAATCATGGACCATGTTCTAGAACCCACTAGCCTCTCCTAACCCCTCATATCCTTCTATGGGTCTACAGAGCCTGACCAATTCTTCCTCCCTCTCTGACAGAGGTAGGTGATATGGGGACAGGGCAGAGTGCCTGCCTGGGTGATGAATGTGTGAGGTGACTGCGCCTTGAGCTCCCGAGCTGCCTTGATGACTTCCATTAGACTCTGCAGTGCGAGCAAGGCTGGCTGGAGGTGGCCAGGCTGAGGACAGAGCCCTGCCCCTGTGTGAGGAATGGGGGGCTGTTCAGACCTGGTGGTCCTCAGGTGCAGAGCAATCAGCCTCCCCTATCTCTCAGGGCACCTGAAGGGTGTGATTTACTGTCTTTTCAGATATTGGAGCATGGAGTGTCCAGCTCAAGGGTGTATCCCAAGACCACAAGCCCTGACACATGTTAGAATATCCTGGCCTGATTTAACTTTCACCTTATCTTAGAAAAAATTATTTTCTTGTAGAGATGGGGGTGCTATATTGCCCAGGCTGGACTCAAACTCCTGGGCTCAAGTAATCCTCCTGCCTCAGCTTCCTGAGTAGCTGAGAATAGCTGGGACCGGGGTATGCTACAATGCTGGATCACCTTATCTTCTATAAGGCTAGAATTTTCCAACAGCTTTGAGTCCCCCACGTGACTTTTTAAATGTATTACCCTCCTGCGTCACTGAACCATCAATGTGTTCCCCAAATTGTAACGTGCAAAGTGACCTCCTCATCCCACAGTGTCGCAATGGTAAGCACCAGTGTTCCTCTGTAGAGGGACCCTTCGCCTACGCTGTTTCCTAAGCAGATGGATCTGTGGGGCAAGGGCGTCTGCTGAATGGTGTGGGGGTGGGGTGTAGTTACTTAGAATGAAGCAGTCTTTCAAAATCGTTATTTAAAACACATCTATCTGCTTGATTTCAGTTCCTTGGGCAAAGCCCCACTGGAGGGGCTGGAGGGAAAGTAGGGTCACTTGGAGATCCTGGATGCCAGCCCCTGAGGTTTGGTCTTCATCTCACTGCGGGAGGGGTAACGCCATGAGCCAGTCCAGGGCAATGGGCTGCAGGGGTGAGGAGGTCTGAGAATCGGCGGAGATTAAGTTGAGGGACTCCAGGAGACTGCTTGGACCCCCGGAGTGAGGAGAGGGAGGGGCCAAGGAGGGAGGTCAGCTGGGGCGTACCCAGCCCGGGAAGCATAAGGGAAGGCTGTCACTAGGGGCGCCCTTGCGGGTCAGACACCAGGAGCGCCGTGGCGGGTGGCCCCTGGGGGGCGCCACGCAGGCGGGGCACTAGGAGCATCCCCACCCAGCTCACCAGAGGCCGCGGCATGCGGTCAACAGGGGGCGCCGTCGTGGGGGCGGCACTGGGAGTGCCTTCCGGAGAGACGCAGTCGGCTGCTACCCTGGGATGGGTCCCTGGTTCCAGAGCCCGGCCTGCGGGCAGCGCCCCCGGAGGTCTGCCCCCTCCCGCGCTGGTTCCCTCCTGCTGCTGCTGCTGCTGAAGCCTGCGGGTGAGTCCTTCCCGATGCCTACCCCACCCGCCCAACACGGCCCTCGCCTTCCACCTCTAATTCTCTCGGCGTCCTCCGCAGGTTGCTGGGGCGCAGGGGAAGCCCCGGGGGCGCTGTCCACTGCCGATCCCGCCAACCAGAGCACCCGCTGTGCCCCCAAGGCTACCTGCCCTTCCGGCTGGCCTCGCCTTCCCCAGCAGGCCCCGACCATCCAGACACTGCCCTCGACCACCCAGACACTGCCCTCGACCACCCAGACACTGCCCTCGACCACCCAGACACTGCCCTCGACCACCATAGCGACCCAATCCCCAGTTTCTGAAGGCAAAGTCGACCCATACCACTGTGAGTACCGTAGGCTCCGTGGGGCAAGGAGGGTGACAGAGGAGTCTTAAGGACCTTGACTGGGGCTAGGGGAGCAGAAGGGACGGGGGCGGGGAGGGGAGCAGGATAGAGGAGCGCCTCCTTCTACAGGTGTTCGCTGAGCACTAAACACCTGTGGGCCAGGCCTGGTCCTGTCTGGAGGCCCAGAGCTCTGGGTGTCTTGTCCTCACGGGCCTCCCCTCCTGCTGAGGTAGGGGGCTGGAAATTCAGAGGGGCCTGGGGCCGGCTGTGTGTTCCCGCCCCGTCTGAGCTGGCTGTGGGGCAGGTGGCCTCTCACCCTGCTCCAGGCCCTGACCCATCATGCCTCTGACCCAGGCTCCCAGCCAGGGACTTCCAGGATCTCCAGCACAGCTTTCAGAGCCAGGCTGTGTGAGCCTTCTTGTGGTGTCTCCAAGGCGCACACGTAAGATGTTCTCTTGCCCAGTGGCTTTCAGAGACCCACGTAAGAAAGGCTTATTATTTTGGGACTCAGCACATAGCATTTAACTGCCACAGAAAGTCGCCCAAACAGGACTTACGGTACCCTGTGCTGTGCATGCCGACATTTTCTTGCCTATGTTATCCTTTAAAAAGGCTGGTCACGGCCCACTTACGTTTACAATCTACGAATCCATTTGGAAAACACTAGGAGTGGGACTCCTGGGATGTTGGATATGTGCATCTTCAATCTAGAAAAACTGTTTTCCAAAGCGGCTGCAGCAATGAGCGCTCCCGCTGCCGTGGGTAGGCGTTCTGGGTGATAATCCTCACTGACACTCGCTGTCACCGATGTTGCGTTTTTGCCAGGCAGGTGGTACAGAGCAGAATCTCATTGTAATTGAAATCTGCATTTCCAGACTGGAGGTAGTGGGCCATGCCTGTAATCCCAGTGCTTTTGGAGGCTGAGGCAGTAAGATCACTTGAGGTCAGGAGTTTGAGACCAGCCTGGGCAACATAGTGGGACTCTATCTCTCCAAAAAATTAAAAAATAAAAAAATTAGCTGGGTGTGGTGGTGTGTGCCTGTAGTCCCAGCTGTTCAGGAGGCTGAGGTAGGAAGATCATTTGAGCCTAGGAGTTTGAGGTTACAGCGAACAATGATCATACCACTGCACTCCAGCCTGGGTGACAGAGCAAGACCTCATCAGAGGAGGAGGAAGAGGAAAGAAGAGAGAAGAAGAGGAAAGAAGAAGAAGAAGAAGCAGTCTGCATTTCCTTGCAGACTAAGGGCGGAGCAGCTTCTGTGGTCATTGGCTGCTGAGATTTCCTCCTTGGGCTATGCCCATTTTTTTGTTGGGGCATCCACTTTCCTCTCACTGAACCACAGAAAGGGGTTCCCAGAGGAGGGAGAGAGCTCTGCTTTGGCTAAAGTAAGGGACATGGTGAGGGTGGAACCAGGTGGAAATAGGAACAGGTTAGTGAAGGATCTGATTAGAGCTAAGAGTGTGTTGGGGACGGCAGAAGGGCCAGTGGTGCACTAGGCTGGTCAGCTGGGGATGCTCTAGGGCCCGGGCTACAGGAACAGGGAGAAAGATATCTGGGCAGTGCTTGGGCCCTTCTGAGGCATGAGACCCTAGTCCACATGTGGACAGCATCATTCCATGGTGACAGGTGAAAAGGGAGCACCCCTGGATGGGTGTAGGCCAGTGGTTGGAGAGGCAGGGGGTCAGGCTGGGGAAGGGGAGGGATAGGGAAAGATCCATCCCTCATCAAGCTCTCACCTTCCTCCTCAGCCTGTGGCTTTTCCTACGAGCAGGACCTCACCCTCAGGGACCCAGAAGCCATGGCTCGACGGTGGCCCTGGATGGTCAGCGTGCAGGCCAATGGCACACACATCTGTGCGGGCACCATCATTGCCTCCCAGTGGGTGGTGACTGTGGCCCACTGCCTGACCCGGTGAGTCGAGGTCGAATTGGGGTGGGTGGAGAGGCATTTGGAGCTGCTGCGGGCCCAGTCACCTCCTCCCTGCCAGCTGTTCTGGTGGCAGTGGCAGTAGTGGCAGCTCTGCACTCTGCAGAGCCCCACAATCCCAGCCCCTGCCTTACCTGGGCTCCAAACAGGTGGAGGCTAAGTCCTGAAAATTCCTTCAGGGCTCCAGTCTTTTGAGTGTCCCACCCTTTGCTCGCCTCGCCTGGCCTCTCAGTCCCATGCAGTCATTCTGCAGATGGGAAATGGAAGCTCAGAAGCCATTTGTCTAGCCTCATGCCTTCTCTCCATGGGAAGAAGCTCCTAGTTATTTCATTTCACCCTCTTTGCATCCACATCCTCTTTCTTCCCTTCAATCAACCATCCCTGACACTTCTTTGAGCAAGGCCCTGATCTGGGCACTGAGGGCAGAGGAGGGATAGATCATTCCTCCCAGCTTGGTGGGGGAGACAGAAAGGAAGACAGATACTCACAAGGGTGCCTGGTTGGTGTGGGGACAAAAGAGGGCGTGTTCTCATGTTTTGGGGCCAGGAGTGCTGGCTGTAAGAACTGACCAGTGAAGTGTGTTCCAGGCCTAAGGGCCAACATACAGACTCCAAGGGGTACCCCAAGGGTGCGCAGCTAGAGAGCCAGGCCATTGTGCATTCCATGGAGCTGGAAAGTGGAATTGCCCCCTCCAGGGCACAGCATGGGGTGAAAGAGTCCGTGCTATAGACTGAGAGTAGAGTTTGGAACCAGAGAAAACTGGGTCCACATCCCTTCCACTGCCTCCTAGCTATGCAGTCCTGAGTGCTTCTTTGGGCTTCTCTGAGCCTCAGTTTCCCCCTCCATAAAGTGAAGGGTCGTGAGGACTGGATCACACAGTGAGTGTGCAGGGCCCTGTTCACGTCTGTGGTGAGGAGTAGGCTCAGGGGGCTTGAAGTGGGTGGGTGGCCCTGCCTGGATCTTCTCGGGGGGCAGCAGAGTGGGGGAAGGCCTGGGCCGGAGGCTGGGGCAGGGGGCCTGGAGCTGATCGTGGCCTCCCTTCACGGCCCCCCCAGGCGTGATGTTATCTACTCAGTGAGGGTGGGGAGTCCGTGGATTGACCAGATGACGCAGACCGCCTCCGACGTCCTGGTGCTCCAGGTCATCGTGCACAGCAAGTACCGGGCCCAGAGGTTCTGGTCCTGGGTGGGCCAGGCCAACGACATCGGCCTCCTCAAGCTCAAGCAGGCACTCAAGTACAGCAAGTACGTGCGGCCCATCTGCCTGCCTGGCACGGACTATGTGGTGAAGGACCATTCCCTCTGCACTGTGACGGGCTGGGGACTTTCCAAGGCTGATGGTGAGTCAAAGCCGCCCCAGACCAGGGCGGGTGCTGTGAGAAAGGACGTGGTTGCAGGCCAGGGTGCCACCACAGATGGAAGTTTCTGAGGTGCCTTCCCCAGGGAGCCCGCCACTCCCGGGACCTTCCTGCCAGGCTCTCATCTCTGAGGTCTCCCTTCCCTTGAGGATCTCACAGGGAACACCTCACTGCTGCTCTAGCCTCAGGGGACCGTGATTGCCTTTGAATCCTGAGCTAGGCCAGGGCACGTAAACAGAACTTCCTCGAAGGCAGAGAGGCACAAAGTAATACCTCACAGTCCACACCCGCTGCCCAGGCATCGGCAGCTTGCAGCAGAGTACCTGAGGTGGGGGGGAGCAGTCTTCCGTGCTGTAAAATGCTGCCCAGAAGGCTCACATGGCTGGCTCGGGGCGGTCTGCACCTGAAGCTCATGGTTTCCGCTCCCCTCAGTGGGCCTCAACTCCTTGTCGTCCCAATTCAGGAGCAAGGCCCAGAGAGCAGGTGTGTTCTCTCAGGGACATCCAGGGGACCCTAGAACTGTCCACTTCCTTCAGGGGGTCCCCAACCCATAAGAGAGATGTCCTTCCCTGTGGCCTCAAGGAACCAACTTACTCTCAAAACAGCCCACGGGGGCTTCAGCCCATGTGGGAGGACCTGGGGGTGACTTTGTCATCCTGCTGTGGCCTGTCTCCTGTCTCCCAGGAGCTTAAGCCATGGACAGGGACACACTAGTCAGAGAGGCAGGAGGAAGCAGTGCCTGGGCTCCATGGAGGGGTCTGGGATGGCTCAGCAGGGAAGAGGCCTGTGGAGGAAGGGATGCTTGAAGAGAAGGAAGGTTTGGTCCCTAAGAGACTTGGCAGGCCCTCAGGTTGGAAGGAGGGGCAAAAACCAAGCGGCCGAGTGTGGTGGAGGGAGTGTGAAGGGTCCCAGTGGCCTGGGCTCTGCAGGAAGCCAGAGCAGGCCCAGCAAGGCTGAGCTGGAGGCAGCCTGCTCCAGGGACTCTGTGTTGAGGGCCCTAGATGGGTACGGGCTAGAACAAGGGTGGGGGTGCATGGCTAAAGCAGAAAAGGTGGGACTGGGGAAGAGTGGAGAGAGGACGAGGCGAGGCTGGTGGCAGCGGGCAGCAGTGAGTGGCCGCGCCTAAACGGGGCCCTGTCCCACAGGTATGTGGCCTCAGTTCCGGACAATTCAGGAGAAGGAAGTTACCATCCTGAACAACAAGGATTGTGACAACTTCTACCACAACTTCACCAAAATCCCCAGTCTGGTTCGGATCATCAAGTCCCAGATGATATGTGCGGAGGACACCCGCAGGGAGCAGTTCTGCTATGTGAGCGGCCTCTCCTCGCTCACTCGCCTTCAGGGGCACCTGGGGGAGAGGCATCTGGGGAGGGAGAGGGGAGGGGTGGAGGATGGGTAAGGGAAGGGAAAGGGGTGGGCAGAACTCAGGGGTGTGGGGATGGAGGATGTGGGGGGAGACTGGGAGGAAACAGATGGGGGCTGGGAACGGGGATGGCGGTTAGAGGTGAGAGGAGTAGGGGGTCCATGGGGAGCTGGAAGGTGGGTGTTAAGAGGTGGGGGATGAAACTCTTTGAGGAAGGTCTCCTGGGTCTGGAGCACTTCTCACCTATGTTGGCACTGGGGGACTGTGGAGGTGTGGTGTGAGGACATCCTGCCTGTCCTGGAGCTGGGTCATGTCTCTGGCCTCACCTGGCCTCCCTGACCCTTACTCCCCCAACCCTTCCCGCAGGAGCTAACTGGAGAGCCCTTGGTCTGCTCCATGGAGGGCACATGGTACCTGGTGGGACTGGTGAGCTGGGGCGCAGGCTGCCAGAAGAGCGAGGCCCCGCCCATCTACCTACACATCGCCTCCTACCAAAACTGGATCTGGGACTGCCTCAGCGGGCAGGCCCTGGCCCTGCCAGCCCCATCGAGGGCCCTGCTCCTGGCACTCCCACTGCCCCTCAGCCTCCTTGCTGCCCACTGACTCCGTGTGCCCTCCCTCACTTGTGGGCCCCCCTTGCCTCCGTGCCCAGGTTGCTGCGGGTGCAGCTCTCACAGCCCTGAGAGTCAGGGTGGAGATCAGGTACTCAATTAAACATTACTCTTTTCCATGCCTCCTTATTCCTCGGCCTCGGAGGCCCCGCCTTTCCTGGACCTGCTGTCGTGGGAGTCCACAGGTGAACCAGATGAGGATGAGGTGGGGAACTCCAGGCAGTTTACACTGAAAATTGCAGAGCCTCCAGGATCCGCCCCCATTCAAAGGTTTGGGGTGGCTCCCACAGAAGGTGGAGGGGATGTGAAGGGGTGATATTAGGGTCAGATGATCGAGGGCCCTGGAACATACCACCCAGGCTGAAGCTGGGGCTGCCAGGACCCAGCTGGGGTGCAGCTGTCTGGGCTGGAAAGTGGGTGCTGTTTCTGGGATAACTGTGGGAGTCAGGCTTTCCTTAACTTTGGCTGATTTCTGACAAGAGGCTAGAATATAGCCTTTCATTGCCCCAAAGAGCCGTAGTGAACTTTGACCCTTTATCCCTGTCCCCTGTCTGGAGACAGTGGAGTCAGACATTATTCCAACCCTCAGCAGCCAGGCATGCCCATAAAAGGCTCGTAGTGGCTCCATGTCAGGGGGAGGGCAGGCGGAGCCCAGGCCTGGACTTCCCCCAGTCTTCAGCAACTGCTGCTTTGTGTGACCCTGAGTGGCCCCTACCCCTCTGGACTTCTGCTGCCTGGTCACACAGGAAAATTCTGCATAAATAGAATGGCCTTCATCACCCTATGTATGAGAAGCCCATGGGTTGGACTCCAAGGGCAGAGGTCAGTCAACTGTCTCCATCTGGTGTCAGAGTCCTCAGCTTCCACAGCGGGGCCTTTTGCCATCACTCTGCCCCTCACTGCTCCTAAGACCCCATGTTATATATATGCTTTCCTCATCAGCCTGGATCACTGTCCTCCCTGTACAATGATGATCCAGGTCCAGGTCAGGAGCCAGGTTTGACTCTTCTGTGTCCCCAGCACTGGGCACAGACCATCACAGGTCTATTGAAAGTCATGAATGCAGCCTTGTGAACTCAGCACCCAGAGAGCTGGCGGCGTCCCTCCCGAGTCCTGTGCCTGCCTCCGGGGTGGGCCCAGGTGACTGCAGCTGCCCCTCAGCCTCTTGGCTCCCATTTCTCCCTCTATCTCATCCTAATTCAGGCTGGGAGAAGAGTCAGGGAGGGGACTTTAGCCTGGTCTGAGCCATCTGTCACTGACTGCTCATCACCCTCCACATAAATGCCCCAGGAATAGCGCATCCTGAGGGGTCATCTCAGGAGGCTGTTTTCTAGGCCTGGCTCTGAGAAGGCACTCAGCTTTATTCACAAATCTCTGCAGGCTGCTTTTCCAGCAGGCTCCCCTGGCTCAGAAACCTCTGGTGTCTCGAGACCTTAGTGTTCAGGCTTAGGTTTCAGAGCCTTAGTCTGTTCGATGCCATCTGGAAGCACCTCTGTGCATCTTCCCTCCCCCAGGTGCTATTTGGGCCTTTGTTTTCTGGTCAGAGATGCTTCTTTTAGGTGCCCATAGTGGGAAATAGTAGAAGAGAAAGCTACAAAGAAGCTGACACTGTTATGGTCAGCAGGTGGAAGGCGCTGCTGTGATCTCCCAGGGCCCTGGGACCTCCCAGAACAACTGGGCATAGAAAGGGCCGCCAGAACAGCCCGAGGTCCCCCTTGGCTTCTTAAATATACTCTGATTCCCAGGAGGGGCCCAGACCCCAGCTTTCTTTCCTGCACCCTCTAGCCCACCGACCTTAGCTCTGTGTACCCCTGACCCAGCCCTGCAGCCCACAGCCCCGAGCTCGAGCCTCTGGGCCTCATGCCGGGCCTGGCAGCAGCCTCAGCTTCATCACAACGTGTGAAATGATGGTCTCCCATTGCCTTGAGCTTGGTGTCTGCTGGGCTGGGGGTTCCATTTCTCAAGCCACCTCTACTCACTCCCTTGAGCTGGATCCCTGCCAGGCTTGCGGAAGTCTCCTCACCATCGGGGCTCCTCCCTGGCCAGGCAGAGTCCCTCCTGCTGCCACAATGTCCCCCAGTGACCCTCTCTGCCTCCTTATGGCCAGTCTGGGTGTGGCCTCACACCCTGACCCATGCACTTCAGCCATTTCACGCCAGAAAGGATAGCTAAAGTAACCCCTTATCCTGTTACTCCTTCACAGCCACCGCCATCCCTGGCAGAAAGGGTGGGAGAGAGGCAGGTCTGGGTGGGGAGAACAGTGTATCTCCAGAGGGACAGTGGCACCATACCACCTCTGCCGAGGCAGTACCCATGTGGATGGGGCGAAAGGAGCCAAGTCTGGGCTGGGGGGCAGGACACCTACTAGATTGTCTGGTTCCTGCCCCTGAGGGGCCATGAAGATGTAGCCATGGGCCTCAGCTTCCCTCTATGACCACAGCCTCTGTGGTCCCCAAATGAGCTCAGAGTCCAACATTCCTGGACCCTGGCCACGGCTTGAGCTCCAGGGCCTGCTGCCCAAGCTGTCCAGGATGTCTTCATTTCTCTCCTTTCTTCTTCTTGGCCTCATTCTTCTCATCCTCCTCTACCTTAATGGCCACTGTGTCCACACTGTCCTTCTTCTTCTTCTTCTTCTTATCCTCTGTGGGGCAGGGGAAAGAGACCATGTGATGGTGGTGAGACAAGGTCCTGGGGTCTGACTGTCCCGAGGGGAAGGGCCCCAGAACCTCCTACATCCTTCCTTCTTCCTACCGGGGAATAGGCTCATCGTTCTATTTGCCTCATGCCAACCAATTTCTGTGCTCTGGTCTCCAGGGGCAAGGTTGGGGCCCCTCCCTGAACCTGCTGTGGTTGGAGCGGAGGAACAGGGTGACTCCAGGCAGCAGAACTGAGGAACTGGCTGGCATAGCAGGGCTCGAGCCAGGGCCAGCTCACCTCCTGGGACTTCTGTGAGCTCATTGAGGGGTGGCACAGTCTCCAGCTTGTCTGTGTACATCTTGGCTGCCTTTCGCTGCAGGTACCGGGCTTCAATCTCCTTCCGGGTCCGTGGCACACGACAGTTGAAGACACAGCACAGGGTGATGACTGTAGGGAGGACAGAGCAGGCTTGGCTGGGGCTGGGGTTCAGACACCCCAGGAATGGCACCCACCTGCCTTCAGGCCCGCCCCCATCCACCCACATGTGTCTCACCCACCAAACTCTGGCAGGAGGCTCAGCATCTTGACAAGACCCCTGTGATGACCAAGGTGGCTTTCCTAAGCGGGGCTGACTTCATGGAGCTGCACAGGCCCCCATGCTTGGAAGGGCCCCTGGCTAAATTATGTCACCAGTCCTGGTCTTGAGGGTCTTTCTGACTAGACTGAGAGTCACTGGAGGGTAAGGCAGAGGTCTGCACCATGACTTAAGCCATAGCTCCCTGGGGGCCATCCAGCACTTCCAATCCAGGCCTCTGGGTGTGCAACTTAGCTTCTCCTCCCCATGCCACTTAGCTTATCCTCCCCATGCCACCGAGAGCTGGGCCAAAGCTGCCTCAGTCATGAGAGGACGTGGCTCTGCATGTCCTCCTCAGCCTCCCAGGACATCCCTGGGCTCTCCCTGGCTAGGGCGGGAGCCCATGAGAGGGCACAGACCCTGCCCTGGGGCGTTCACCTCAGACGGAGTTATTTCAGGAGTGGTTTTCCGGCTGAGGGCAGCTGCACCCACGCCAGTTGGTCCAGGGCATGGAGCTGGCCTGTCTAGTGATGGGCAGGGCAGGTCAGGGTTGCCAGGACCTGGCTGGACTGAGTTTATTTTTCTAAGGCCCCCACAGCCTGACCACCTTGGCCCCAGTCCTAGGGGAGGGGATGGAGCTGGTTCCTATTATAAATCAGATGACCAGACATAAGTTCCTGGCAGACTCCTGGGGGCAGAAAGGCCCAAGGAGGATAAGCCAGGTCTATTTTGGGGAATATGGATCAGATCTATGTAGTCTGGACTGGAGTACCTTCTGGGGTCATTTTATGCAACCAAGGCAGAACCCCTTCAGACAAATATTGTGGTCCCACTAGGTCTCACCCAGGCTCAGAATAAAAGAAAAAAAAAAATGAATGAATGAATGAATGAATGGGATGATCTCAAAGCCTTTGCTTCTGGGAACAGGACTGGACTCTAGAGTGAATGAACTGGGGACCCAACAGCATCCAGGCATACGCTTGGAGGAGGGTGCTGCACAAGGACCCCAGCTGTAGATCTGACTGTCCGGGGGTGGACCTGAGTAGACAGCAGGTCTTATCCAAGAAGCTGGGTCCTGGATTTCTCCAGAACCTGTGTCCATGCCTAAGACCCAAAGCTGGTACCCAATCCTAACCCTTTTGGCTTAGGCCACCTCTTCTAGGCACCCACCAGGAACCTCCTTGGGACCATGCCCACTCAGGCTCCATGCAAGCTGGTCCTAGGCCCTGGGAGGCTGGGGCTTCCAAAGGCACTCAGTGGGCAGCTGATGGCAGCCAGAGCAGGGCTCAAACACCGCCTCTCACTTCAGGCCTGCCCCACACAGCCTGGCCTGGTTGCTTCTCTTCAAAGAAGCGAGACACAAAGAGCTTTGGGTCAAGTTCCAGGGCCCAGGCAGAGGCTTGGGATATAAGTCCCTGGGTCTGGAGGAGACCTCCAGGGGTACCCCATCTAGCCCCATCCCCTTTCCCTGCAGGGCTTTGAGGGCGATTCTCCAATAACAGCCTCACCACGTAGGCCCAAGCGGACTGGGAAGCAGGAAAAATGTTTTCCCCCAGGAAAGGGAGCTGTGTTATCCCCACTGCCTAGATCCGGCAATGGAAGGTAACAAGTGCTGCCTGCTGCTCAGGCGTCTTGGGACTATCCCTTACCCTTTCTAGGAAATGGGGTTAGAGATGGTCTGTGTGGTTGATATCCGAGTGCTACTTGGGGTCTGACACTGCAATTTTCTCATGTGGCCCCAGGCACCTTTGTTGTGTCTTGAGGCCCACAGTGCTCTCCCTGCTGCTCCCTAGACCTGCGTCCTAGGCTGTGCCTGTGGCTCCTGTAGGGCAGATGACCACCCAGCCCTGCAGCGGGCTGTTTCCCTCTCTGGACACCTGGCTGAGGCTGCAGGCACACCTGTCTGTCTGTG